TGAACGAGAGATCTTCAGACATTTTCCCGTTAGATAGATTGAAGGTTTTGCAAAGTCAGGTATATCAGAATGGAATCAAAGTTAATTTTTGCGATTTGCGATTTCCATAAACATGCTAAAACTCACTATTGTCCGTTTGTAGAGGCTATCGTAGTACTTATACTGATTTTAATAAGTTTTCTGACAGGGGAACAATGAAAAAAAAGTAACAATTGTAATGAACGTGACATTAGAATGTTAAATACAAAGAATCCAAAATTGATACGTCTTTCTCGTGGTATTTTCAAAGTTGTGAAACCACCTCTCGTAGCTGGTTAGCTCAATCGCCGGACTGATGTGCGGGAGGTCGAGGGTTCAAGCCCCGGCCAGACCAACACTCAGGGTCTTAAAATAACTGAGGAGAATATGCTACCTTTCTATAATATCAAGAAATGGATAGATATTCTAGTCTTCTCGGATAAGGACGAATAAGATCTTGTGCACGGTGACTCGGTGGTGATTTGGGCGCCAAGCTAATACACATCAAAACGGCCTCAAATCGCGAGGAGAACAACACAGACTACTCTCTATGAAGGTAAGACTTTATTTCTTTGATTATTTCACTCAACTTTACATTTACGGAGCTCAAAAGCAAGCCCAACTAAACCACTATACAAACTCTTAAATTGTTCACTGTGAAAGAGCCTGTGACAGAGCTTGGGCCACCTGTGATTGAACTCCAAAGCAGAAGTTGCTGAAGAATGTTATTTCATTGTAAGCAGACCTGATCAAAGTTCTTCCCCACAGAATATGTGGTATCATCTGCATACATGAACACATCCCCAAGTATAATAGCATAAGGGAGGTCATTGGCAAAGATAGTATAAAGCCTTGGACCAAGGAGAGATCCCAGGAGAACGCCATATTTCACCTCATCTAGACGTGTATTGAAACCTGTCTCAAACATAATCCATCAGCCATTCGTGAAGATTTCTCCTTAATCCCATAGCCTGGAGTTTTGACAGTAAAATGTTGTGTGAGATGCTATCAAAGGCTATCTTAAAGTCAACAGATATTGCACCCACAATTGTACCTTTATCCAGATTCATCTTCCAGGTGTCTGTCATTGAAAGTAACATACCTTGTTATGATAGTGGTATGATTATAGTCGTATGATTATATATATGCATATTTACTCATCATTTATTTTAGCTGAAAAGCATTATTGAGAGGAGCTTCCACAAAATTTATGAATCAATGTTTCATCTTTATAGCAATATATATCCTATCAGAAAAATGGTGTACAAGTGAACGATCACAATCTTATTTCGAAGTAAAAAGTGGATTTTAGCTTGCAGTTTACTTTATTCACTGTAAAGTTCTTTGGGCCATGTTTTGAAGATCCTGGTAATTATTTGCCTTGTCCACACAGCCCATTTCTTTTAATTACCTCTAAATCAGATTCACTGGTTTCCAACCAGATTACATTGGCACTACTGAAATAAAGAGTTAAAACAAGTATATGACAAAACTAAAAATCTCAACACAAGGGCACATTCTGGTAAAACCTGCCCTCATGATTTCAATCTCACCATAATTTTATGCTCAATAAATTTGAGCCTGGGATTTCATCCAAATTGTTGCCAGGTTACCTGACCTTAAAATGACCTCATAAAACTATATCATGGGGCCTCCAAGAAATGGACACTGTTCAATCCAACATTACCAAAAGATTAACGAAAGGAATAGGTCAACATCAGAGTTAGAGACTTCATGCTTATTTTAGATGAAAAACTCATAGTATGTGAAATTTGCTATGTCAAAAGCTTGTGAATTGTGTTGTCCTTTTTGTATACGATGTTTTCTGATGCTTTTTGAACTACATGTAGGGCTTCAAGCATATATCTGAAAAGCAGTTCTTAGATAATTCTTGCATATTTTTTATGTAATGATATACATGTATCAAAATGTTCTTTACTTACTGTCCTTAGTTTTTTTGCTGATGACATAATTTTATTCTCATTTCTTGAGCATGCATATGGACAAATTACACAATTTTATCAATCAAGAACTTAAAACCATTTCTACTTGGCTATAAGCAAACTGAATTTGCTTCACATACGGGTGAATAAAGTTAGTTTCATTATTTTGGCATTGATCTTTGTTATTCCTTTTAATGGGCATTGTGGAGCCCTTTTTTGGGCTAAAATGTACTTTTTGCCACTCACAGGCTTGCATAATGTTCAGACTGCATGTTGGCCTTTTTTTCAGTTTTTAGTTTCTTATTATGCCCGAAAGTGATAATAATGGTTACACTGTGTTTATATTCTTTGGCATAAATGTGTTTTAGGCCCTTAAGGTCATTTTCACGCTTGCCAAAGGGGCTTGAGCTAAAAGAACTCTGAGTCAGGCCCAAAAGATAGTTACCGTAGTTTCTCAGTTCAATGGCGCACGCTTTTATCAAGAAAATTCTGTCTTCAGGCAGAAAGTTAGTGCTGAAATTGGGTTGTGTCTTATAACCAAGTATTTATTATGCAACAAAATCTTAAGATCTTACTTTCAGCAGATCTCAAAGTTGAAAAGACAAGAAAAGGACACTAATTGTTGGTCATTGGCTTTCCTAGATCTGGAGGTTCTGAAAAGAACCAGGGTGGTTCTGAAAAGAGCTGTTGTGGTGGTTCTGCAAGAACAGTTTCCTTTACACCCTCCATCAAATGACCACAAAACAAATCCCCCACAAGTAGAGCTTTTTGGTCTGAGATGTAGCAAAGATTACACAGAGTCTACTCTTAACAAACAGAAAAGCTGCATAGGTGCTTAACAGCATAACATGGTACCAACGACAACAAAACAATCGTTCAAACCTCATTTCAAACTCCTAGAATTGTGTTTGTGTTACTCACTCAAAAAGTTCCTTATCTGAATAAACGATGTGGAGATATAACCTACCTTCTTCGTCTGTGTAGGCTTTTTTGCACACTAAAACTTGCATCCTCGGTGACATGTTGATAGTCAGCAGTCGAACACCTTTGATTATGTCTTTTTGTGGGGGTTTTTTCCCATTTGCTTTTACTGCCAGAGTAACCGGCTGAAACTTTCTTGGTTTGCTCACATCCTTTTCTTAACTCTCAACCTTTTGGTGCATCTTAAAACTGAGTATTTTCACATAATTTTCAATTTGGGAACTTGGCTTGACTAACTTGCTAAGTTTGGGGTGCGTCTTATAACTAAGTGCACCTTGCAGTAAATGGTTTGAACCCGGGGGTAACATGTGAAGGTGTAGTCTGATCGTCCGGGTGAGTGTAGTCCTGAGAAGGACTGTTGTCGGTGGCAGTGACTGACGTTTCGACAACCTGTGCGGAAGTCATCATCAGAGTCAAGTGAATGATTGTTGTCAGTAAAATGTTCTTATTCCAGTTCGTGTGAAATGATCGGTTGGTTTTGCCGTGATGTTATTGGCTGTAAGACTCAAGTGACGTAAGTCGGTCGTGATTGGTCTGTTTCGATCTGTCGGTAAAGTTAGGTCGTTCTTTTTCGGTCGTTTGTGATGTTTATGTCGTGAATGAGTCGTTTGTATGGAGCGGGTAGTTGTTGACATCTGTTTAGGGGAGTCTGTTCTAAGTTAGTAAACCAGCTTTCCAGAGTCAGTCGTTGAAAATAGTCAGTGCTGTAGGTTAGGCATTGCGCAGAGTCCCAGTCAATGTTGTGGTTGGTAAGTCGATGGTGTTCAGCAATGTGATTGCTGACATCACCTTTCCTCGTCGCCCGTCTGTGTTCAGTC